GGCAACGGGAATGTGGAAGCGTGAGTAGAGCCGCATGCCACCGAACAATCAGCCTTTTCAGTGTGTAAATCAAAGCGTGCAGAGCACGCAGGGCCACAAACCGAGAATTTGCGGTTTGGCAGGTGGCCTTTGTGGCCAAGCGAGGCTGGAATTCTCAGAGTCGGCTTTCAGAAAAACATCCCAGCGTCAGGGGGTTAACCACTTGACACTCGATGACATGTAAGCACACAAAGTTTTCCTTATTCGATCCATGGAGGACGCGTACACTCATTATGTTTTAAGAATTTTTTTCATTTCTGCGCTTGACATATTAACAAGTCATGCTTTGTTGGGTCAAAGCACAATTGCGAGGTTGAAGAACTTGAATGTAAAAAATCAGCCCCCATCAGCTTGTTCGGGTAAGAAAATCTGACGTCAACTGGTTAAATTGCCATAAAAATGCCCAGAATTTGCACTGTCTGGTGGTTAGTTGAATAAAATTAAGGATGATATGTTCACCTACACAGACATATTCACCTATTCAGATATATTCACCTACACAGACATACTCACCTATGCAGATATGCTCACCTATTCAGATATATTCACCTACGCAGATATATTCACCTACACAGACATATTCACCTATGCAGATATGCTCACCTATTCAGATATATTCACATACACAGACATATTCACCTATTCAGATATATTCACCTACACAGACATATTCACCTATTCAGATATATTCACCTACACAGACATACTCACCTATGCAGATATGCTCACCTATTCAGATATATTCACCTACACAGACATATTCACCTATTCAGATATATTCACCCATGCAGATATATTCACCTATTCAGATATATTCACCTATTCAGATATATTCACCTATTCAGATATATTCACCTATGCAGATATATTCACCTGCACAGATATATTCACCTATGCAGATTGTCAATTTGTAGGTCCTTATATCTACATACTATGTAAGTTATAATAGCCTAGTATTTGACTGTCTCTGTTTCTTTCCTACCTTGAAGAGTGTGAGCCACTTCTCCAACCAGCGCCTGGCCATCGCATTCAGCTCCTTCTTTCGATTTTCCTCATCCACACTCCAAACATCCCAGCTGTCTAACTCCTTGAAGAAGTAATTGTGCATGTCCTGAAGGCCTAGCACCAGGAAGATGTCATGCACCAACTCCCTGTCCAACAAAGTACAGTTAGTCTTGGATGTTCATCCTTGGGTATAAACATCTAACCCTAATCCTGATGGATCCAACAAAGTGTGACAGATGTGGAAGGTTTATACGGGATCTTGCTGAACTGGGCAAGTAACGGCAGAACAGTGAACAATGTCACTACTGGGCCCTGCGATGGTTTGCAACCTCATAACTGTCAGCAGCCAGTTGGACAAGGAGATCAAGACGGTTTGTTGGATCTGGTACTGGACTTCTTCCTCTCTTTGACAACTGTCACTTGTTGCATTCACGTTTCTAACCTAAAAACCCTGGTACAGGTTTATCAGAACACCCAAGATTCACACTTTGTTAACCGAATTGTGTTGTTGAGGCCAGGGGCCAATTTCATGGCACTGCTAAGCACAGAATAGAATTTTATGCTTACAGAGGCTCAGCGTATTTCATGGAGACCATAAGCAGTAAGTAAAGGCATGCTAACTTCAAAGGAAAAAGTAGCTTAACCTTAGGTACCAATAGCAATCTCAGTGTGTGCACAACCGTTAACACAACTATGCCAGGCACCGCTATGAATTAGTGCTTAAGGTTTGCAAATTTTTCTGCTAAAGTAAGCAGGACATTTCTGTTAACCGTGAAGCAGCTCCGTGAAATTGGGCCCAGATCTATCGCCGTCTTCACAACTACCTAAGCTTTACAAACTGACCTGACTTCTTTATCGCCCTCCAGGAATTGAACAATGAGCTCCACGATCATTTCGGTGTCTGGATTGCTCATGGCCTGCAAGGCCTTCAAGGCCATCAGGATGAATCCCTGGTGGGAGGATGGGCGAGGGGAAGGAATGACACATTAGACAAGAGGGCTTATGTCGGCTATGAAGTAAAGTATTCATAATGAATCACACAGGTTGCTTTGGATGTAGTGTCTGGCATCAGTCTAGGCTCATGGGGGGTTGGGGTATGCTAGCAACCATCCTCTTCCCAAGAAATTATTACACAGGATTTGTACCACGGGGTTCCTGTACCTAAAGGACAGTTACATTCCATGACTTTTCCATGACTTTTCCATGACCAAATTATGAAAATCCATGACCTAACAATGCAATTTCTTGGACTACATGTATTTGGACTTTTAAACTTACGAATAAAATCACACATTTTATGCACTTATTTCTTATAATAGAAATCACACAGAGTGTTTAAAAATTCCATGACTAAAGTCATTTTTACAAAATTCCATGACTTTTCCAGGCCTGGAAAATAAAAACAAATTTCGAAGACCTTTTCATGTCTTTTCCAAGCCACAGGAACCCTGGTACCAGAATAGGTGAAAAACAAAGGCTGCACTATGTTTTTAATTTTTTTAACCCTTGTGGTATNCACAACGGCGTGGTAGTAGCAGTCCTCTGTAGCGAAGGGGTCAAATACGACTGCTGCACAACTTGGACAATTATGCTAATTAAAACAATGATTACAATGTACTTTAGATGTACAAAAGGAGTCCTCTCGGTAGTTTCAGTGAACAGAGGATCAGACAATATTGTAAGAGCGGATTAAACTCCTGATTAGAACACTGTCTGGTCTTTAAGAGCTACTGCTTTTCTTGTTCAGCAGTGAACCTCTGCCCCAAATCGACCAAAGAGACGGCAGTAAGATGGAAAACAAGCAATCCATGGAAAGTCTGAGGTACCACTATGAAAAACTGTATGATTATCAGAGTACACAATGCATATTGATCAAAACATCAAGAGTTTAAAATAACCTTCACAGGTTTGCAGAAATTATAATGAAGTTGTAGGATCAATTATTGCATAGTTGGGGTTAATGCCATTAATTTTCTCATAAAGATCCATCCCCAAACACTCACAAAGAAATATTTGTCCATGGTTTTACTACAAATCCTCTGTACTGAAGCCACAAACCTTTTCGTCCTCATCCTGGCAAGTCGGAGGGCTGCTCTTGTTCAGAACCCCCATCAACGTGTCTACCACCACCTTGGTGGTGGCCAGCGAGTCCTGCTGGTGCAGCATGATGATGGCTTCCAAGATGGGCGTCTTCATGGCGTAGTCTGCGATTTTGAGCAGGCGGAGGAGCATGGTGACGAAGGCGGTGACCGTCCAGGGTTTAGGGAATGTCTACAAGTCCAAAAAGAAGGTCAATAACAAAAAAAAGGATAAGAATTATAACTGGAAACTACTGAATTGTGTCAAAAGACCGAAGTCAGGAAGACTTGACTTCTAAGCATGACTGGGTTTTTCTCAATGCTAGGATTAAACATCAGGCCTTTGAACAAGCATCTTTAGTATAACCAGCACATCTGTTTCCATGGAAAAATTCCCCAAACCACATCCCCAACAGTGACTTTTGGTGAGGTGAAGATTTGACTGAAGTGCATAATATTTCAATCTTTCATATTCACCGTAAAATTCACCAATAACAACGGCGGCATTAAACTTCTGCGATGAGCACTTTGAGCATTTAATAATAAAACTTCCACTAATTTGCATTTGCATAAAGATTGGCACAAAATAATGTCTTTAGTGTTCTTTTGATTTACTTTTCTACATGTGTATTTTCAATAACATTTTTCATGAATCGTTTGTTAATTTGTTATATCAAATTATAGCAGTATGGACATGAATGTTGATTGATTGATAGTAAAATTTGACAAACAGCACGGTTTTACAATTTAAGGATTTAAAGAGTTCAAAATGTCAAAAAAAGTTTAAATCCCCTCCAACTGATGTGCATAATTATCTAGTAAGATACTGGCATTCAAAGCAGCTTTGAGAAATCTTTCATAATTATGAAAGAACAGCTGGACATGGCCTAACACGTCACCTTGTTGGTTGCATTTGGGAAGTACTCCTCAAACCAGTCTGCTCCTTTGAACTGCGAGATGAATGAAGGCAGGGGCGTGGGGGGCCTAGGGGGTGAGGGCGTAGGAGGTGGGGGTGGACTGGGCGTGGCAGGCTTGGGTGGCACGACCTTCACTACCGGCTTAGGCAGCTTCTGCACCTTGGGCTTTGGGGGCGGCTTGGGTGTCTCTTTGGGGGTCTCGGGCTTGGGCTCTGGGGTCGGGGTATGAGGTGGGGTGGGAGTTTGCTCCTGATCTGGGATGTCTTTAGGCGTCGGGGCGATGTCAATGTTGAACTTGTCCAAGAGGGAAGCCTTGGGTGTGCCTGTGTCTTCTGGCTCTGGAGTGAGGATGGGTGTCCTTTCTTTCTCCTACAGTGAAGATTTTCAAGTCAGAAGGTTACAACTGAATGACAGATGACATGGTTTCAAACGGGAATGCATTTTACCATATCAAATTTTAAAATATAAAATTCACAAGTTATGCACCGTTTCTTACTTTAAAGCAACTGCTTTATCTTTTGTGATTACATTTATGAATCGGGATGGATGGTTTCTGCATCCTTGCTGAGCCCTTTGAGAGCAAGTGTCAAAATAGAGGGATTGGGGCTCACAAACACTAGGCTATTCATGACTGGAGAGAAATAATGAAATTATGCTTGTAGAGAGAAGCAGTGTTTATAGATACATAATCATGGAAATTAATTTACAAGAATAACAACAGCTATTGAGCCACCTCTTAAGACAATTTCAAGTTTATGAATGGTTGTGTTAAAGCTTAGAGTCCTAATTTATGCAAAATGCTGCTAAACGTTGGGGTAAGAAATGCCGAAAGCTGGAGTATCAAGGATAAGAAGCTTCTTCTCTATACCTGAAATGAAGTAATGTCTATCTCTACGATGTACATGTACATAGAAAAGGTTCATACCTGACTACGTGCATTACCAGGCAATGTCTAAAAACAAAAGGTGCTTTCTTATCTTCCTTAATGTACAAAAACAATCATTTTTAATCTACAAGCTCTTCGGTTTAGCAATAATTTGGAATGTTTTGACTTGAATAGCAAGAATGGAGTTGGTAATGTGAGTAAATTTACCGGTGTGGGCTCAGCGGTTGGTAAGGGCAACTCCTGTAGCATCATGCAAGCGTTAAAGCAAGGCATTAAAAAAAGGCACGAGAATTGGCCAATTAAAATGGCTATTTTAGCACCTGAAACAGACGTGAACCAGCATGAAAACAACCACAGACGCAACCATGATAAAAGTCTCGGGTCACGTGGAAAAAACATCATCATCAAAAATCATCTGAAGTTTCACTGTTGATACACGCAAACAGAAATTGTGTTATAGTCCAGTACTTATCAACCAAGTTCTCTGCCCAATATACAACTGGTTGGGAGAGAACAAAGCTGAATAGAGTCAGAACTAGAGAAAGTGTGAATCAGTGTCCCAAGTCTTAAATAATCTGGCAAAACTTCAAGATGGCAGGACACCATAACTGTTACATTATTGTGAATTTTTTTTGATTACTTGAAGTTGTGACATGCAGGATCACGTAATGTTGAAAAAGCTTGCAAACTACACTGCATTTGGCATTAGTGATGTTGCAAATCTTATTAGAGTAAGTATTTGCTAAAGTGTGCAGAACTCTTGAAAATGCTAAAAGAGGGTGCGAGGAATTAATATTGTTTAAAAAATCATTAAAGAGGCTTGCAAACTTTTAAGGAAACTCAGGGTTGATCTACGGAAAATGCACTGCATAGCCAGTACTTCAATACTCAGATGAAATAACCTCTAGCTTCAAAGTTTCCTCAAAGTAACAACTCACAAAAAAAAATTGAAAAACACCGCAAGAGAAACAAAAAGTCATTCAAACTATCCGCATCACTAACAATCACACCTCAGAACTGGTAGTGAAAAGGTCATTCTTAAATTCTGAGATATGAAAATGAACTTATTGGTTCTAATATCTTTAACAAATGCTTGAAATACTGAGTCAAAGTGAAGGTTTCCAGGTATAAAATTCTCAAAACATTTCAGTGGTCCAAGTCTTGTAAAATGTCAATTGAAAACAACTGAATCCAGTACACTTGGTTCATTGATAATGATCATGTATGGTGAGCCTTGTCCATCAAAACTGAAATTTAGAAAAAAACTGATCAATCACATTTTGGGTCTTACATTTGTAAATGGAAATGCTCATGAAACGTCAAACAGGCTCTATGTTAAAAATGCACTTCACTGGTTGAACTTTTTTTGCAAAAAGTACCATCTAAATGAATTCTCAGAAAGTTCGCAGTGTGGTGTTTGATTCTGGCAGATTTTCAAAAAGTTAAGGTTGAGGAAAAATGAGTCATTTCATGATTCCACAAAACTCAACAAGCTTCCTTTTTTCCACCATCTAACGAACTTGCTTTACTCTAAGCAAAGTCAAGGCATGAGTCTTTTCGCTGCAAACCATGCTTAAACTTCTGATCATTAAAATGATGAAATATTGGGTGAGGCAATAAAACACACACTGGCTGTGAAGCATGCATCGTGCATTCAAAATAGAAAGTCAAAATCCTGCTCAAATATACCTCCTCCTCATCACTCCAAACTATGACCCGCTGCAAGTGAAAAGGTCAAATGTCAAAGGTCAGATTGGAAAATTGCTACAGGAAAAGCTAAAAGGAACAATAGTAGAATGTACGCTGACCTCGACTTTTTAATATTTTTGCTTAAAAACAAAACTGCTTAGGTTTGAAGACAAGGAATTATCATTTTAGTGGCAAAACAACTTCTTCATAGCCTGGCATAAGTTTTCTGCAACTACTCTTGGTCTTATGAAATTTCCTGCAGTCTCTTAAAATCTTGAATTAATCTGTATTTTACGGTCAATTCTTTGCAGTGACAATATTCCCGGCAGCAGATCTGCCTGACACATTTAGGAAAAAAGGTTAAAAGATTGCTCTCAAATTTAAAGGTGCTATTTGTGATGTACAGTCAAGAAATACTGAGCAATAAATTCAAAGGTTAAAAAGAATGTTAATCACCTCTGGGCTGTCCATTGACTTGGGCTGTGACAAGTGCAAAAGAAAATGAACGGTGCCAGCAAAAGAGAAGAAATAAAAAAAGAGAGAAAAGAACTTGGGTTATTTGTCAAAGAAGTTATCTGCGGCTTCAGTAATGGTTTGGTGATGTTGCCTTTTTCGTTAAAATGTATCTGCAAAAGGAAGAAGTGTCAGAGGTTAGTTGTTACACCCTGTCACCAAATGTTACCTGTAATCTTCAATTTGATCTGAAGGTTTCAGTGCAAGTGAAATACAGCTGGTAAATTGTGTGGGGTTCTCTGGCCGATTTGAACCCATTTAACTGAAGCTAAAGTGCAGTCTCAAAATAACTTTTTTTGCACCTGTTGGGCCTACACTGGGCCTCATGGCTGTCTGTCTACATGTTATCTTACTTTAAGTGGTCTTGAAATGCATGTTTGCAGTATGAAATTCAGTCTCCAATGTGGGCCCTTTTGGTAAGAAGCAGTATGTGTATATGGCATAACCTGCAAATCTGAAGTGTTCTGTTCCTTCTTTTGAGCGACCAGTGAAATGGCTTTTCAAGTTGCCTTTGATCACACTGGTGCCCTTATTTCTGGTTCAAAGGGGTCTCTATATTTGGAATGATTTCGCCTAATGCTTGCTCTAGTGCAATTTATACACGTATCCAATTTGTTATTTGCATTTTGCCTTTTCATTTTGGTAAGAGAGTACAGCACAAAATGGACAGAAAACTGCTTGCCCACTGGCAGTTCAATGAAGCACTGGGTGAAACAATGCCTAATGAATTTAGAGGATCTCTCTATCTTTTCGAAGCCCAAATTAACCTACAGGAATTGTCAAGGGTAAAGCTTGCGGTAGGCTCATTTCTTTTGAACACTGTAGTTTTACAACTCATAGCAGATGGGAAACGGAGCTTGAAGATATAAGATTTCACCTTAACTTTTTGGTAGACGTGGTTTTTTTATACTGACCCTTCTCCTTGAGGCAATCTGAGCCAGCTGGTCATCACTCAACGTCGGCGGTTTGTACTTCTCCTTCATCTTCTCCGTCTCCTCCGGAGGCCAGAGAAGACGGATTAAGACAGAGTTGGGAATGAACCCTGAAGGGTTGATGGGTAAGCGTGGGGGTTGGGGTACCGGCTTCTGCGCCTCGATACGTTCCACGGTCGCCCGGATTCCATCCTCATAATCTTCTTCCCTCAGCTGCGTCTCAAAGACTCGTGGCAGCTCTGACGGTTTCGGGGGACGGCGGACCGTCGAGGGGTGCGGGAAGAACCCGGAGGGCTCCCTCTCTGGTTTCCATGACGCTTCGGACTCCTCGTCGTCATCCCCAGCATCTGGGTTGAAGTTGTCCTCATCCGAAATCTTCTCGTGCTCTGTCTCCAGATGGACTATGTTCCAGTACTGGCGGAAAGCTTCTCTCTTGATTTTGGTAGCTGGGATGGTCGCTTTCTTCTTTGGAAGCTCATCAAAGGTGCCGTCGCGGAGCTTACGGAGTTCACCTTCTCTGGCATCCAGCAACGTAAAGGCCTACAATTCAAGAAACACATATCATTCACACAACATGGTCAGCCACCAGCTGTTTGAGATGTAAAAAAAAACACCAAATTTCCTGTATCCCATTTGGCAACCGTCTCTCAAGTTTACCATCACATTCTAGGTCATTCTAGGTCAAAGTTCATTTCTAATGTTATTTTCCTGACTTACAGCTTCCTTCAGTTTCTTTTCCTTTGTTATTTCTTCTGTTTCCTCCTCGGTCAGCACATCCACAAAATGGTCAAACCTGTGACAGAAATCAAATTGACAGCAAACAAGAGGAATAAATCGATTCCATAAGACAGTCATCAACTAGTCATTTTCAAGCTTGTAGACAAAACTCCAAACTTTTCACGCAAACATAGCCTTGAAAACCCTTGGTGTTCAAGTCCATCACAAGTCCCTCCAAGTCCATCACAAGTCGTCCAGTTTTCAGCCAAGTCACAAGCAATCCAAAGAAATGCGACAAACATATTTCCTTTGTCACTGCTGACCCTACTGGTTGCAACTTATCTTGTGAAAAAACTTATAAAAGGGCTTATGATGGACTCTGGTACAACATTGCTTAAAGATTTCTGAGCTTCAGAGGGCATCTCTGACGTCTTACTTAAAAACAGAAGAATGTGCAGCCCTAAGTCTTTTGTTGCTTAGTGGCGACATCGCTCGGACCTTGTCCGTATCCAGCGGGATGGGCGTCTCTGAGGGGATCTCAGGAAACACCATGGAAACCATCTTCCTCAAGTACATTCTTGGCATATCTATAAGAGAAAAAGACGGCTGAGTGATTCAGAAAAGGCAACCAAAGAATTTTATTCTTTTATCTATTAACGCACCTGTCAGTATGCTCCCCCTCAAGAGTAAATTTTGCTATGTTATTCCCGCCGCTTTTATCATCCCATGTTCTAAGTTCCAAGTTCTGTCAGACACAGTACTTACAACTAGCATGATCTATTCGGTGGATGTGGTTTCCAATTCCGACTAACAGGTCGCCCTTCTGACTACAGAAGCTCAGGCTGAGCGCTTCAGCGTTGAGTTTAATTGATCTAGGAATGAAGATATAGTCAGTTATTTCTTGTCAAATGTAATCTGAAAAATGAATTCTGAAATGTTCTTACGACTGATCAGGCAAGATTGAAATGCTATCTGGACACAAGCTTCAAAGTGAAAATGCAGTTATTTGGACTTTAATACTAACATCACATAAAGACCGTCGTTGTTCACACCAAATAAAAACATAGTGGAACTTTGTTATAACAAGATCCTTGGCACTCAACAAGTATTTGCAATAGTTACCTTGTATTATCAGTAATGGAAACAGAGACAAAGAAAAACTTGGGACCTAACATTGTCCTTGTATCACCAGTTCTCTTCGTATCTGTGTTTGACTATACCCCCAAATTTGCTTTTGCTTTATAGGATTCAATGTCTCTGCAAACAAAAAAGGAAGTAATATTGAGCAGATATCATCCAACTGGGCACCACAAACAAAAAGACTGCAGCATGGTGCAACAGCTTGCGATGAGGCCCAAACGTTGGCTTGCTTTACTTGATCAATTTGTTGTCCTCGTCCCAGATCTTGATGGTTCCGTCAGTGCTAGAGGAGGCAAAGACTCCCATGCGTGGATTGCAGGCGAGGCCTGTGATGTTGTCAATGTGGTCTTGATCCGGACTGTGATCATTCCTCTCTGGAAGAAAGAAAAAATAAGGTCAGTAAAAGTTCATGATCGGCTCCAACTTGGGAGTGCTGCGGAGAACAAACTTCTGCTTAGAGAATTGATATGCTGAGCAAAAGCCAGGCCTGTTTTCATGACTATTTCTAGCAGCAACTGAAGAATCAGCTAGAGTATTTCACAAGACAGCATGAAAATAATTGTAATGCACATGGACAAACCCTGTAACTAAAAATTCTGTGCTTACTTGGTCAGCACATAATAAACCAATAGCGGCGCTAAGTCACATGACCTGTAGTGGGTATTCAGTATTAATTCAAAAGCAAAGTGTTTCGTAAGTATCATTTACCAATAATAAAGACGATTGTTGGTATCGTACTCAGACTACTGATGTGCTGGGCACTATACCGTATCAGCTTTGTCATTCGTAAACAACAATCAAAACACACATTGCTATAGGTTGATACCCACTACCTGTATAGGTCACATGATTTAGCAGATGAAATCAGTCTATTTCTGCCCTAGAACTGTCACAGAGTGTTGATAGTAAGCAAATAATTCCTTTGTAAGCAGTTATAGAACTGCAAACGGCCATAAAGATAGAAGAAAAATTGTTCTGCAAATTTTGATGCTTAGCACAAATCAGCAGAGAGCCAGTTGCAAGAGACGAGACTTGTGAGACATGTTAATTGGGAACCTGCTATCACTGGGCAAAGCTTCTCTTTGCTAAGCGTTTCTATGTAACTGGTCCCAGCGTCATGAGTAATGCGCAATGCATGGTTAACGTTACGCAACCTACGTTTGTTCTGGAGGTTGTAGTGCACTATGCTGTAGGTGGCCGACGATTCATCCTGGAACGCCACGCACAGCGTGGTCCGCATGACGGACATGTGCAGGGGGGTGTGGGCACAGTAGAATGACATCAGGGGAGCCAGGGATTCCTCGGCGAATGGGAAGACTCGCCAGACCTTGATGACATTATCTGCCAGGGAGGGAGGAAAGTTTGCCACATTAAGAGAAATTCAGATCGCAGCAGGATTCAAGCTTTCATTGCTGATTAAATGAATAGAATGATTGCTTGCATCTTCCAGTTTTAAACCTGGGATTAAACCCAACATTGTTGATAAAGTGAATAGCGATTGCTTGTATTTTTCAGTTTTATAAACTCAGACCTGTGTCAAAGTAAACTTTATCAAAAATTCTTCCTTTCATTTCACAAGAGCCACTTTCATGGCAAATCGCAGTGAAAATACAAGGCAAATTATGACTTCTAAAGAATGGTTTATTTTATACTTTCTGGGCTCTACAATCATAAATATGCCTGCATCAAGTTTGTTAACATAAACAGGACGTGCCGGTTTGAGGACGAAATTTCTGCCTCTGATAAATTGGTGCAGCAAAAGTTGTGTCAAATGACAGAAACATGTAAGTACTGCCAAACTAAAAATGTGGCATCCAGGTTGATAACTTGAATGGAACTTGAGAATTACAGCATGTTAGTGACTTGGCTTTGCTGTGGAAAAGGTGAATGGTGCATTTTGGCTTTCTTACGTGACCCTGTAGATCACATACATGTAGGTACGGCACAGAATGGGCAAGAATGATTTTCAGCTGATTGTGGGCACAAACTTACAATGCCGCCTCTAGCTTCTAGAAGTACCCTAGCAGCAAATCTAGTTTTGCTCGTCTCCCATCATGTTCAAAAAATGGCCACCAAGCTTTAAAATCTGGCGCGTAAGTACAAACTTTGGGTGCTACATTTACGTTCTGGAACATTTCACAAAAAAAGCTCTCCAGGAATGTTTAAAATGCTGCCAAAATGACAAATCTTCCTCTCAGGTACATAAAAATGCACTAGCCCTGAACTCAATTTATGAGAGCCTCTTAAGTGAGCTCTGAACCCTATGCTAAGAATCTGTCTTCCCCACTCCCTCCCCCCGACATCTCAGTATTCCTTTCGAGTTGCCACAGAGTTTTAAATTAAGGACTCAGAGAACACCGCCATCATATGAATGGAATGCATCTGAAAGCACACACACATGGTAGAAATCGTGTAAGGATCTTTCTTTACTGCAACACTTCGCAGTATTTTATACTGTTCCGGGCATTTTTATGATGTGACTAGATTACACGGCAGGTGCAACACTTGCTTCTGCAGATAAGCAAGAGTTTTGTGCCAATACACACAGTGAGGAGCAACACACAGACACAATGGGCAGCCCATCCAATCACTTACCATTGTACAGCATGCCATAGTCTACATGCGTGAGGGACACAGGTGTAAAGTAACATGCACAATGAACAGGTCAAAATCAATCAGTGACAAGTCACACATACATGCAGATAGACATATAAATTGCCGACACTGCCAACACAAAGGCTTCACAGCCAATTTCTATGTTATTTAACTTACTGATTTTTAGAGATACCATCCGTAGTCCGGATCGGACTACGTGGGAAACCACCCACAGCCCGCCATGCATCATGTAGCTGTTTTGGTAATAGTTCTCAACAGGACAGCTTGAGAGCTAAAACTCTCTGTGAAATTTTAGATTGTTAGGTCGAAACCTCTGTTTAATTAAATTTTTTCCCTTTATTTCTCTGACAACCAACAGCAGGGACCAGCTACTCATAAATGTCATTAAAGACGCAGTCCCTCATTTGCAGTTATCTCAAAAGGTACTATTATTAAAAGCATATCGGTTTAATAAAGATGGTTGTGAGACTAAAATCCTTGAGACTAAAATCCTTGTTATTTTCAAGAAAACAAGGAAAGAAGGCCATTTCCAAGGACGCGTATTAAGACGTGCGTTTAAAAAAATTGCCATTGGAAACATGCAGAAGCATTCACATGACACACACGTGCAAGGTCACTACAATTTGTCGGTTCGGCACATGACATTTCATAACTGCATTTGACTGAATGTGAGAATGTGTCCCAGATGCTGAATTTGGACACAATTTAAAACACGACTGAGCAATTTTTGATACGATACTGAAATCCTAGAATACTGCTTTCTCAGAAGGTACAGAATTCACCGAGATGAAACTTCATCATGTTTGTTCTAAGATACCCTTCTTTAAATTTTGAGTAATTTTGTTACCTCAAAGGAAAATAACGCATAAATGACAAAAGATGGACTGTATCTTTAAAAACAAACACACACCACGTAAACACACGATGTAAATACTTGACGACCTATAGATAAATAGACAGATACTGTAAATTACCAGATTCAGAGCTTTTTAATAATTTCTTCAAGTAAGTCCATGGAAATTTAAATGCTCATGCATACTGCAACAATGATGAACAAGACAAACACAGTCGTTTCACAATAGTGCGCCACCAAGAGTTTGCAACTCGTTGGCCAATCACAATACGCAAAATTTGTCAACCAAATGCGCATTTAGAAAGGGTCAATAAATTTTGCGCGTTATGATTGGCCAACGTGACAACGCTTGGAGGCGCATTATTGTGAATCGCCCGTATTGACAAATGCAGTCAACATGAAGGAACAAATCTGCTCTCACAAAATCACAAGCAACAAAACAATTCAACCTTTTATGGCATTTCAAACTTTGATCTCTTTTGATGAATCTATCTGTGATAAAGGTATAAAACAGTGTAGAGTATTTACCTAACCCTGTCGATATCAGGAGGTCATTCTTGGGGCTAGCCTTCAGCCCAAGCACTCCCTTGAAGCCATGAGCCTAGAGTAGTATCAAAGAGGACAGTTTAAAACAATCATTATGAGAATGTCGTCATCAGCGCTGTTACCAAGTATCTTTTCATTTTTACGCCTCTGCACTGCAACGTGCAATCCACTTAAAAATCAACGCTCGGCGAGTCATTTATTTCAGTATTCTCTGGGCTCAACAACTGACCACAGTTGTGATAAATTGTGAGGTTGAACTGATTGATATAAATCACTTCAGCCCGAGGCTTCCACAGAGTGCATTCACCCCTGTGATTTAGGTAAAACTTGGTCTTTACAGTCTATCTGAAGGCTGGGAAACATCTGAGCTAGATGGACTCAGCCTTTGGGTGAATCTAATTTCCTGGCATGATTCTTTTACAAATGGCAACGGGGAATATGGAAATATTAATGGGGAGTTCTGTTCCCCTAAAATCACATTAATAACTCATTTGTGTGAAATTTCCAAGAGTTATTCACTTGTACATGATAACATAGCAGATAAAACTAAACACACAAAGTTCTGCTCTTGTTAAGTCTGTCCTCTAGCTTTACCAAATATAGTCTTTTTTCAGTTTTAATGGCATGGCAAATCATCTCCAGACCTTTCATAACAAAAAAATCTGTCACTCACATCAGCTTTGAAAACCACTTCCATTGTGTTCCAGTGCAGTACGGCTACGTTGCCGTCTCTACGCCCCCCGATCAGCAAGGTTCGATTCCTGGATTTGTTCCGACTCCAGCGCGACTCGGGGGTCTGCGTGGGCTCGATGACATATTCGTACAGGGCAATGGTGTTCAGGAACTCCTTCTCGCTGTGGCTGTCATGTTTCCAGACTCGAAGAACCTTGGCTGGGTTCTTTGTAGTGTCCGCTTTGATGATGTCGCCGGTCTTACAGACGACAAACAAAATATCTGAAGAGACACCAGCACTTTTATTACAGCCGCTTTGCTTAAAAATTTGCTTAGTGCTAAAAGCATTTGCCTTGTAAAAACAGGTTACCAGCCAATGATTTATTGTATGTACATGTACACTGTGTTCAACTGGTATGCTGTGAATATTTTTCTGACCATATAAACTTGCTTGGCAAGGGTTTAAACTAGGAGGCTCTGTAAAATTGGTCCAAGACTGCAATCCTGGTAGTATTTACACTGATTTGACAAGAATGTGGATACCCCAAGTGAGGTGACTTACTTTCGATTTTAGAAAAACAAATAATGTTTATACATGTCTCATCAATTTTATGTTTCATTAATTTTTAGATTTGGTCAGCAATACCACATGGCCCAAAAGCTTGCTTACAAATGCCTACAGGTAGGATTGTCTTTTATGAGATGTACCAAAGTAAGTGAACAAGGGAAAGCGGGGGACAAATGGCCCAGGAAAACTTCTGAAAGAATTTCCATAAACGGCACGTGACTTGACCCAAGACTACATTACTTGTGAATGACTTGTGACTTCACGCTATGTGTACTTCTATTTAAAGGGAAAAGGAAACCTCCAGAGATCTTTGGCAGGTCTTACTCTCGGCAGCCGCGTAAGCTGCATCCAGGATGCCTTGCGTGGTGGAAGCAAGGAACGATGTCAGTACATCACCGGAGCCGGGCGTAACGATCCGAACACTGCTATCTCTACTGACGCACACGGCTCTTGTCGGCATCTGGTTCAAAAACCACACAAAGACTAATCAATGACTCTGTTTCAAAAGTGCTGACTCAAGCGAGTTGCTAGAACTCTCACACTCCTTGATGGGTTGTTAGGATGAGTTGGCATCAGTTTGTTACATTCTCCATAAAGGTAGGTTCAGACAATGGATCATCTGTATCTCTCATCGAACAGACCAAAGGTTTGATACGATCAAACTTTCATGAGTTTCATAGTCATCCATGGAAAAAAATTAAGTACCTAACCAAAAAAAAATACTACAAGTAAGAAAAGAGGAAAACTTACATTTGGATGATCTGTGGTTGTTATTTTTGACACTTTACTCCTAAAGAACCAAGGCAAGAATTAGGATTAGTTTACAGATACAGGTGTTGTAAAAACTAGGAAAGCAAATGCAATGAACCCCAAACTGGACCAAGAGAGGGTGCAATTTTCTGAGCAATGGAGGTTCCTTTGGTTGGAACTGCATTTTGCTGGTTCACAAACGACTATGAAATGGACGAGTTACGATCGCGTCGCTGCCAACCAACATGGCTCTTTTCAACCAATGAGGGGGTGCTTCTGCTCGAGGTGGATATACAGACATTTTAAAGCTTTTTGAAGCTGCAAGACATGTGGAATAAGCGTTGGTATATTCTTGACAGATGGGGCTGACAAGAAAGCTACTAGCTTACCCCACTGCTGTGAAGAGATTATGGACATGTCGCAGCCGCCATAGGTCTACAGTTGTCAAGGAATAGGAGTAGATGTTATCCTTTTGTAGCACCGTTCCGAGTCCTTCCACTGGCTCATCAGTTTCAATCCTGAAGAGGACAGCAGAAAAAAATTTCCAACTTCTCAAATTCTCTGGGTGGAAAAGGAGTATGAGTAACTAGACCTGGCCTGACTTGTGAAGGCATACGAGATGCGTTAATATTACAAATGGTTGGAAATATCTGAGTCCTTTTGAAACAATTGGACATATTCGGGATACCGTTTATACTCAGCTTCACTAATTAAAATCCCAAGTCGCTCTGTCTAGTTTCCTATGTTCTACTGTACTGAGTAGTGTTTAAGTATAGTTGAGAGACCTTAGAACCTGACTGATTCTAAAATGAATTGTTTACTTCTATGCTTCAAAATCTTAGGCTGTCTCCTATTAAAACAGGCTTCCAGAGCTATGGCTAGGTCTATTTTCTGTGTGTCTCCTCGTATTTCCAATGGGGTGACGACCTAGACCTAGCTCTAGACAACAGATTCGGATGCAACCTTACTGAGTTGTCTCAGTTTTAACAACAGTCATTGTTGTCTTGTCTGAACGTCATTCATCTGACCCTAGAGATGCGGTCTGGTACTCAACACATGCAAATTACGATAAAGTTACAGTGAAAAGTCACGCTGCATACTTGGCTTGGGCTTAGAGATCTTAAATGAAGTAACATGGAAGGTACACACACACTATTGTCGGAAAGTGCCGGCATTAGCTGCAGATTTGGTGCATTTTTCGTGTGTAAATCACACTTGGTCAAAGGATCATATTTCCTTTTAGTCGATACAGACGGAAATCAAGACAACTAAAGGTAGGTGTGTACGGTGGGTGCTGCAACGCCCTAAACTTTTTTGATAGGGGTACTCGAGCATCCTAACTTTACCCCCTTTTTGGTAGACATGAAGGCACATCCAGTAACCCAATAATCCTCCAGAGACATGCTCCACAGAGCTTGGTTAGGATTTACATGTCAGCCTGTTTTAACCAAGCTAACGAATGCTGAAAAGTTCGCTGCTTACATGTCCACTTCATCACAAGTTTCCAAGCTCCACACTCGCAGGGTACAATCGTGGGACGCCGAGACGATGTAGGGACCGTAGGGGTAGGCACAGAGGGCAGTCACGGATGCACCGTGCCCCACAAACACCAACAACAGGTGCCAGGAGTCGTCCCAGACCTTGATGGAACCATCCCGGGCACCGGTGATTAGATGCTTCAAAGGGTTGAAGAACAGCAAGCTACAAGAGAGATGACTACATGTATGAATGTAAGCTAGGTGTGTTGTAGAAGTCCACGGTGAAACAGCTGCGATTGCATAATGTAAAGTTTTCAAGATAACCAGAAAAATGCTGTAGGGAAAAAAACTAAGTAGGTAAAACTTGGTACTGATAAAGGGCGGATCCGAGGGGAGCCAACAGGATACTGCCTCCCCCCCTCCAAAAAGTTGGGGAATTAACCCTAACCCTCCTCAATCCTTCACCTGTTGGAGGACTGAGGAGTGTTAGGGTTGAGAAAGGAAGGCAATTTGGAAGGATTTCTTTAATTTTGCTTCCTTCAAAAAACATTTTAAAAGCACCAAACTGTAGCCTCAACCCTCAGAAAGGCCACAAACAAGTTTAACACCTAAATAAATTCCAAAATATTTGCCCTCCCTCCCCAAGAAATCTGGTTCTGGATCCATCTTTAGCACTGACGAACATCTTACATGATTAGAGGCCACAGCAAGTTGCTATAGACTCTGATAGAAGTTGTGGGGCTGGTAACAGGTAACAAGAGACACGCAATGATGATGGACTGCTCATTGTTCATTTTGATAGCCCACGATTTTGCTTAAAGTGGAAAAACTTCGACTGGGTTATGAGGATTTAGCTGAAAACAGCTGCGTCCCACAATTATGGAATATTAGCCCCGCCCACCCTCGGATCAGCTTTCTCTTTTACCTTGTGATGTTCCTAACATGGAGGTTCTTTTTATATGACAGGAGCCGTCCCTCATATAGATTGAAGATCGCCACCCCGGCATCGTGGACGGCAAAGCAGCGCTGGGCTCGACTGGCCGTCTTCTCCAGGGCTATCATGGTGAAGATGTCCTCTGGCGTCAGTCCCGTAGGGTCGATGGATTTTTTGGGGATGAGGTGTTTAGCCCCGTAGCGGAAACACCAAGACTGACAAATAATAAATAAGAAGCCATCAAAATGAAGATGAATTTAGCAGTTTAAATATATGTACCTTTGAGAATGACTTTTCTCATTTATTCTGAAAAAAGTGACTTTATGAAGTGATTTCTATGATTTTTATTAAACAAGATCACATTTACTCTTAATTTTTGTCCGCAAGTACAAACACCATCAAAGTTTTTGTGGAAAATTTAAAAATTGTTGAATTATTTTTCCAATGAGGTTTGAAAAGTCGGCTTACTTTCAGAATGGTATTACCCAAGCATTTCTATCCAGCCCGGCATAACCACACGCCATGCATTATAAAAACTCTATCCCTTATGCCAGATCAAGAGGTAGCAGCTAGCTTCTCTCTGTAGCCTTCTACATACCATTATGGAAGCCTGCCCTGCAGTGACTATCTCATTCTGCTGCTCGTTGTACAATGCACAGCAAATCTTGTGTGGTGCCTTGGCCTCCGAAATCAAGTCGAAGTCCCTGCTGAACATCTGTGAGAGACAAATAAACGGTGTAGACGTCATTACCAAGCTCGGCAAAGAAGAGTTGACTGTCCAGCTGCCAGTACATACAAAGATTAGAACTGAGATTACATGTACCTTGAGGTACTCTTCACCAGTTGTCCAGCCAACATAACGCTTGACCTCGGCTGCATATGCAAGCTTCTCAATCGGTTCCTCTGGCTCGATTTGATCTTTGCTCCGTCCATCCTTACGAAATAGGTTGATACCATGGCAGTCTAGAGTCAAGTATTCCTGGTTTGGGATCAAAGAATAGTCAGTTTGAAAATTAAAGCAACCTATCATGTGCAAACCTGTTTCAGAACTCAAAGGGTTGAGGAAAATGTAAACAGGGTTGTGTAACTGACTCATTGTGTGCGTCAAGAAGCCTGTGTCCAAAGCTATTGCCTGTGGCTGAATGCTTTCGAGGCCACTGGCTATAGCTGCCATTGCCCATATATATGTATCACTCCTAGCCATAGCCAGTGGAATTAAACACGGCTCATGATATTAGTTAATCCTGCACTTCATGCACATACATGCACCGTTCTATCTTCCAAATTATGGATCTGCTGACATGTTTGTTTTGCCCAAAGGGAAAGTAGCTGTTTAACATCAATCTTGGCCATTGCTTAATGTCATATTTTCTGTGGAACTTATTATTGGAGAGAAAAAACTACAAAATTTACAATGTCAGAACCAAACAAGAGAAGCTTTAGTTTCTCTCAAAGGGAATTTTATTTTTATTCTGTCCTTCAAAATTGCTTCAAGAAAAAGAGTAAACATTCTGAGCAGCTAGAGTATGTCAAGGTCGTCTGTAACTACATGTAAACAAAGCATTCTGCAGCCTTGGAAGGCAGTTTTCTTGGGCTGCATGTTGAGAGATCTCTTGGAGGTAAAGAAAAAATTTAAGAAGCAGAAATCAAGGGTAAAAGATGATTGCTACCTCTGTTTCTGTGTTGTACATCACATCCATCAGAGGCTCCGTATGGTTGATCTTACGCAAGTGATGCACTCCATGTCCAATGTGGACTTCGGCTGCGTCAGCCCGGGCCACCTCCCGTGTGGTCTTACGGATGGACTCCCGCAGTACTCGCCACAGGAACTGACCCGTCGTTTCGCCTTCTCGCTGTCCGGGCCGACGTTCCCGCTCCCTCAAAATCTTGGCCACTGATTCACTCATGATGTGCACCTCACTTCTTGGAAGACATGCTCAGTATTGCTAATGACAGACTACTAGCTTTGGTTTCAGGGATTGATCGGAGTGGCATATCTCGTCATCAGACGAACAATGCAATATGAAATGTCACTGCTCAATCAAGTTCTAGTATAACACAGCCAATGACAGTCTCTATTCTGTCTTATATCTCCTTAGATAGTTCAAGCAGGTTCATCCATAGTACTGTCTACTGTTTCTCAGAAGTGTTGCACTTTAGTTCTACGTATAACGTGTTGCACTTCTGTTCTGTGTAAAAAAAAAATGCGAACAATGCAAACAGTTTCAAGCAGGTTCATCCATAGTACTGTCTACTGCTTCTTAGAAGTGTTGCACGTTAGTTTTACGTATAACTTGTTGCACTTCTGTTCTGTGTAAAAAAAAAATGCGAACAATGCAAACAGTTTCAAGCAGGTTCATCCATAGTACTGTCTACTGCTTCTCAGAAGTGTTGCACGTTAGTTCTGCGTATAATGTGTTGCACTTCTTTTTATGTAAAAAAAAAAGCAAACAATACAAGTGCTACATTAAATCATTTCACAGACTAAGCATCTGACATTATGGTCCATGTGCTATATTTCTGGTTTTCTGCGTCCAGGGGTGAGATCGGAGGAAAGTGGGACCAAAATATTAATGAGCTCACGTGCAGAAATCCAACGACTTGGTGGAATACACCCTTTTCTGGGGTTCATTACCATTAGCACCCTGTTCCTATAATAAGGCAACAAAGTCCACTTCCTCAAACTAACTAGCATAGGCCTAGTTTAGGTAAATTTTGACAATATTTAAGCAAGAAAACTTCAAATTTCTAACCCAAGTTTGGGAAAAGACAACCACTCAGTCGACGAATCACGCCATTTTCTTTTTTGTCTGGTTAACTGACACGGGCCGTTTGGATTCATCAAAACAAATCTCCATCCAGGTCAAGGCACCAGACTACATTCGCTTATTTGTTGTTTGTAGCTCTTTGCAGTACGCTGCCGTTTTAACCCAAAATTTCCCTCAAAAACCAAAAGCCCTGTTCTCTTTTCTTTCTAATATGAAAGAGGACATCAGCAACAACTGGTTAGATAAGTTATTTCAAAAAAGTAGAATTTATTCCCTTACAATAGGAACAGGGTGCTAAAGGTAATGAACCCCCCCTTTTTAGGGGAAATTTCTCTTTTCTTCCCAAATGTGAGTAGGGCCTAAACCTTATCATCATTATTGGCATCTCTGATTCTCTCTTAATCCCAAGCCGGGCACATTAGTTAGACGGTTTAAGCATTAAAGACCATTTTTGGGGTGAATTTGGAGGATTTTGATTCGGGGTAGGACCTAGGCCATAGTATGAGCTATTTTGAGTGAAATGAATTAACACTGGATAGAATTTAGAAAGCCTATGGAAGGTGGGGCCTACTTGGATTCTACTATCGTCTGACCATGTACAATTGTTCAAAAAGCCGGTTTGTAGGGTCCAAGTTACTCGGACTAACGTTGGGCATGATGGGATCAGGTCAACTCGGACCCAAACCAACTCGGACCCATTCCAACTCGGACCCATGCCAACTCGGACCCAGGACCAACTCGACTCGAAACCATGATGGGATCAGGTCAACTCGGACCCAAACCAACTCGGACCCATTCC